GGCGGCGAATGAGTGACGGAAGGTGTTTTGGACCCAGGCTGGCCACTAATGGCCCCCGTGCGTCTGCAAATGTCAAGCAAGGCGGCGCATGGAAATCACATCCGGCCGTAAATGGTGACAAATGGAACGCGACGGCGTTCGTGCGGAAACCGACCTGTCATTACAGACTCGCAGGCGGCGGGGCGCGGTGACACCCCGGCCGGCCAGACGACTGTCGCCGGCGATGCGCCGCCATTATCTGATGTGAGCCGCTCGCCTGTTATGTCTGCGACCACTCGGAAAATGCAGATGGATGGATGCGTGGACGGACGGAGAACAGGGCAGATTGAGGTCCGGGCGAACCGATAATGCACAGCGGACGGAGTCCGATGGGTTATCGAGTCGACAGAAGGATAGGTGAAAGGACGATGGTTCACTAGATGGTAGCAATTGCTAGCATCTCCACAATGTTGCGGTAGGGTTAGCGAACAGTCTGTGGTAGGGTTACGGTTCGGATTACGGTCGGGTTGGTGTTCAAACTCGCACTATTGTAGAATGAGAATTACGGTCGGGTTAAGGCGCTTACACACTCCCATTTAATTTGTGCAGCACAGGGATGAACGACGGCAACATGGCACAAGGTTGCCCAGATTGGGCGCTAGTTGCTAGGAGACTGAAAAAGCAGTAAGTAGCCCGGTTGGTGCCTTTTTTGCAATCGTTTTCACATCAAGCAATTCGGAGCTTGCCAATATGTATTTGTCACCATTTTAACGGAAAGAGAATGAGTAGAAGGACAAGGAGAACAGCAGCTTTAAAAAAAAAAAAAAGACATAAGTCAACGCAATCGTACTGGAGCGGGAGGACTGGGAGAGTTTCAGCTCGCATGTGCTTGTTGCTTTTTTGCTTTGCAGAAAACAATTCAAGTAATTGGATTGCTTTGTACAAAAAAAAAAGTCAAATTAAACTAAAAATATTTGACCCACATTTGGATGATTTTGTGATTTTGGACCCCGTCTGACTCAACTTATGCTTTTTTGTTATTGTTGTTGTTGTTGTTGTTGCACAAAACAATCCAAGAAATGTGATTGCTTTGTACAAAATTTTTAAAAAATGATGAAAATCCAAACAAAAATAATGTCATTATGGGTTAACAAGGGAAACCGCTGCTTGGTGGACCCATAGTAGTCGATCCCTTTTGAACCCGACTGTTTTGAGATTGTACACAGTTGGATTTTTGGGGTTATTGGTTCCACCCAAGATGTTGGGCCAAATGAATAACCCACAAAACAAACCAAAAAATTGGATTGTTTGGAATAGGCCCCCGCTCCTCCCCCCAAATAAATAAATAAATAATCATCCGGTTGTATGTACAAAACAACCCAAAATTTTGTTGTTTTTTTGCAACTTGAAAAAATGACTGTTTTACGATTCATTCATTTGACCCAACTTTTTGCGTGAAAGAAATACCCCAAAAAGTTGTGTCGGTCCCCTTGTCACCCTATTTGGGTTATTTTTGAGCGTGTATGGTCAAGGTTACAAATGTGCTGCACCAACGAAGCACTGCCAACGCCCTCAACACGAGTCCATAAATTAAGTCCGCACATTAAATCTTAGCACGTGTAACATACGGTTGAGCGTTCATTAAGGCCAAAAGGTAACTGTGTGCTCCATCTCTACACAGAGCGGCAACGTTTTTCCCTGCGAAGGCTTGATGATAAAATATTAAAGCGCGCGGCGAGGTGAAAGCGGCGGCGAGCGTCTCCGAGGCACGCCGGCTGGCAGGCGGGCCGCTTTGTTCCCTCGCCTCCGGGCCCGCCATTGATTTAAGGCCCCGCGTTAACGGGAGCCTCGATGCAGAGTGGAAAGTCATTCATCTCACCTGCCTGCTCATGGCACGGTTAGCCGCCCGCCGCTAAAGCTACAGCCGACCCGGGGGGGGGTCTTGGTGTGCGGGAGGAGAATTTGATGAGCAACGTTAAAACTGAAAACATGCATGACGGTACCCGAACCGGGGCGGAAAAAAAACAGCGGGGGGTCGTTAGCGTCAGAGTGGACATCGGAGCTTAACAACGACCGCTAATACAACGTGGAAAAACAACATTGAGAAATTGCAACCATCATCCTTGATCCAGAAACTGTATTTTTTTGGTACTGGACTCACGTTTTGTGCCAGATCCAAGAAAACATTATTTTTAGTCATGGATTGAAGATGGGAGGAAAAAAAAAAAGCTTTTGGTCCTGAATTTAACCCTTTCAGGGACAGCGGTCACTACAGTGGACAGCTGATCATGTTATCAGGTTACGGGGTGCCGCCCGCCACTTTTTTTTTTTTCCGCTAGATTCAAGAAAGAACCCATATTTTGGTGCTGGATCCTAATAACCAATTATATACACATATAATGTTACCAAGCGGATGCTAACCGAAAAAGACGAGCATGAGTAACCTGACTTGATTTGAGTTTAATTTGACTTTAATTCAATTCTCTTTACAAACCGACTTCAAACGCAGCCTGCGGAAATTCATGAAGATTTCACGACGCTGCCAACTGTCTCGCCCCCAATTCGTTCACGCTCCGTCGGCCGTGCTCGCCGTCACCAACGGTTCGCGTAATTAATTGGCCCCTATTAAAAACCAATGAATCAAATGGATGATTTATTCACGGCGGACGTGTTTTGATGTTGTTGATGAGGCCTGCGGGCCACGGGGTCGTTGGCGTTCGCCGCTCGGCTCGCTTTTGTCCGCATGAAATGAACATGACAGTAACGGCAAAGCAGATAAATGCGGCTGTGCGAGAATAACACACACACACAATTTGGCCACAATGACAACACGCACACACAGGCAACTGGGTGTGACATCATAGGAGGTAAACAACAAAAAAAAAAACCCACCATTGTCCTAGTTTCCACAAAAACTTGCAGAGATTTTACAGTAGGGGCAAGTGGAACACTGCCCCACCAAATCAATATCCTTGAGCAAAACTTTATAGTATTGTTGTTAACAAAACACTATTTTTTGAGTCATTTCCTTCCTCAACGTCATTATCTTTGCCTTATGTTGTAAGGTGTTAAGGTTTTTAAAAAATGGCAAAAATATATCCAGTGGTACCTCTACTTAGGAAATTAATTGGTCCTGGAAGAAATTTCTTAACTAGGAAATTTGTAAATAGAGACGTGTTTTCCATGTAAATGCCCTAATCCGTTCCAAGACCCCCAAAATTCAGACATAAATGTTTTCTAAAGCAAAAAAATTACATGACTGATTCTGCCATTCTCCCTGTCTTTTCTCTGCAGTGATGGGGGCAGCAGATTCCCCTCCCCCATAATTGAGGCCCCACTAATTCTGCCTAGCGACAAGTAGCAATGCGTCTACCAATCATAATCAGAACGATGAACCCTGTTGGTGGCTAATAAAATGTCACTTTTGTGTCCACCTATCTTTTATCAGTTTTGACAAGGCAATGGAGTCCTCTGCCCCAAGTAAGTCAGAATACTTTTTGTTATTATGATTATTTTTTTTACTTACTGTTGGTCACTTTCTAAATAATTGCACACTGGAGTTTTGGCTAATTCCCAGCTTGGTTGGTTTAGCCATCTTTCCTTGTCCTTTCTCGAATGGGCTGTTTTTTGTTTTTGTTTTTTTTTAAACAGCATCCGCATTTTATTTATGAATTTTTAGGGGGCGGGGGGCGGCACACACTCTAACTGGCCTAAATAAAATGTATTATTATTATTAAGTGTTACCCAAGTAATTTTTCTGTGACTTTGGTTTAACCAAAGTTTTGGCCAAAATGCACATAAAAATAATTGAGTAATTTTCCGTCTTTATGAACTCAGGCCACCACGAACCAGCAGAGAGAAAATGGAAAAAAAAGGTGCATACAAGCATCCGCGATTGTCTCAGAGTGTGAGAGGAGACAAACGCGAGCGGGACGTCAGCTGGCGCCGCTTCTTTTCATCTGCATCTCCTTCCTCCATCCAGCCAGCCAGCCAGCAGCACACTCGCTGCATTTCAATCACTTGACTGGAGAAAAGAGAGCACGAGAGATGCTGAAAGCAGCGGCGGCGGCGGCTGCATGAAGGCTGGACATGACAGACACGAACACGTTTCAAGACCAGATGCCTTTGATGTTTTTCCCCTCGGGCGTTTCTCATCATTCATTACTCTTATTTTGCTGATTTATTACTGCCCGAAGTCAGCTGCGATTGACCCTTGTGAGGTTATGCGGTTCAGATAATGGATCGATGGATTTTGAGTATTGATAATCGGTATCGTGCCATGCCTGGCCAGCCACCAATACCGATGACATCGAGTTGGCTCTCCATGACATTTAATAGATTGACCGATTAATCTGTTATTAGAATTTTATTTAAATAATGGCACCAGGCTTAAAAAAATTAAATAATCCAATCGGAGCCTACACCACAACGTGACCTTTCAAACGTTGCACCGGTGTTGCCACTAACAAGCTGCCAGTCTGGCTTCAAGCAGATGCCTGTCAAAGAAAGGAGGTGGCGCTAATGAGCTCACCTAAGAGAGCCCGGGAACATCTGTGCCTGCTTCAACGGGTCGCGGCCTGGTTGACTTTCATGTTTGCTGCGTCACGTCAGTGGGGGCGCTTGACTGAAAAGAGGGAGCGCTTGATTTTACGATAGGGCTATACACCGTTCGGTGCCATACGATTGGGTTGTTCATCTGAATAGTTGGTTGGGCTACTTTGATGTTGCGGCATGTCAGTTCGCATTAAAATCACCTCACAGACACTCTTTGTTGCCTCAAAGTCGAAAGTCGACCGATTACAACAATAGCACCAAAACTGGTCTTTTCATTGATTATTCAGCAGGAAAGTATGTTGAGATGATGACATTTGACATTTCAAAATCTGAATTTCAAAATCTCACACACACGCACGCACGCATGCAGGATTGCGCAAAATATGCCCTCCCCAGTATGGTTTTTTTTTCATGTTGTTAATAATCGGCAGCTTTACATATTGTATATATAAATAACATGCACACACCTGACCTTCGAGGTAATCTTGGGAGTATTCACTTTGACATTGAATGTTGAACACGCTTGATGATCCGAGGAAGGCTGACCAGTCCCCAGGAAAAACAGCTGTGGGATAAACAAAAGGACAAGGATGGACGGGGGACGGAGGATGATTATCCATGACAAAATCAACGTGATTAATAACACGTTGACACCATGAATACAATTGCGCCTTGAGATACGAGTGTCCCAACTTTTGCGTGTGAAAACTTCAAATACGACCGACAAACGATGGGAATGAACACAATTGAACTCACATTTTAATAAGCAGCACTTTGGCAAATGGTGAACATATTATCCAAAAAGAGGCTTCAAACGTTTTCATGCCAATCCTAGTTGAGGTTTACTGTCAAACTACAGTTCCACTTTGTAGATAATGGATGCGTGGATATTTAAAACACGCAAACTATGCCGCCTTAGGAACGGCCTACGAGCTTAACGCTAATATGTAATGGAAAATCCATTGACGTGCTTTAAGGTTAGGATCGATAGTCTCAGTGTTGCACGAGTTGTAGACATATAATATAAGTAATCACAGTCATACATATATCATCATCTCTGATCAAAAATGGCCGATATTAGCGCAACTTACTCAGTAAGAAGAAGAAGAGGGAGTAAGACGTCTATTCTTCTTCTTTGGTGTCTGCGTAAGTGTATCACAGTATACTGCCTTCTGGTGGCCAAGGCGCATAACTCTACCGCATTATGTATTGTCTTGTAAGAAGAGGATGAACACAAAAAAAAAAACATCCCATCTGATGGACCCATGGAGGAAAAAAACGCATGCTAAAAACATGAACTCATGATACAAAAATGAACTGTGATGAATACATGATTACATGAATTAATAAAACAATCAATGTTAGCCTAAAAAAGTAATTGAAACAAGGGCGAAACGATCATTAAAACATACTGAATAATGATTAAAAACATGATGAATGCATTATTCAAAAAAAAGAAAGAAGGATGAGCAAAACCCATTCTCTCTCTCTCTCTCTCTCT